TGTGATGGCGATTGCATCGTCTGTGGATCTATTGGGGCGGTAAGCAAATTGAAGTGGGTCTAGGGTGACAGGTAAGGTAGAGCTTAAAAGGATGTCGTAATGCTGGTGAGTTACCGCCGCTCTGATATCCAATAGTTTTTCCCGGCTGTATGTAATGATACAAAACACTTTCTGAGCTAATAATGTAAAAAATTATGCATAAAAAAACAAAATACCGCAAAGTTTCCTAAAAGCTAGTCGTGAGGCCGCCATCTTCGTCGGCGCGATGAACTCTTACTCCAGAGCCCCAGTCTGAGGTCCTGAGCGCTCTGGAGTAGATTTTCATTACAGATCTCTCTGTACTTTGCTCCGTTCATCTTTCCCTCGATCCTGACTAGTCTCCCAGTCCCTGCCGCTGAAAATTTTCCCCACAGCATGATGCTGCCACCACCATGCTTCACCGTAGGGTTGGTGCCAGGTTTCCTCCAGAAGTGACGCTTGGTATTCAGGCCAAAGAGTTCAATCTTGGTTTCATCAGACCAGAGAATTTTGGTCTGAGAGTCTTTAGGTGCCTTTTGGCAAACTCCAAGCGGGCTGTCATGTTCCTTTTACTGAGGAGTGGCTTCCGTCTGACCAGTCTACCATAAAGGCCTGATTGGTGGAGTGCTGCAGAGATGGTTGTCCTTCTGGAAGGTTCTCCCGTCTCCACAGAGCAACTCTGGAGCTCTATTACCACTGCCAGATCACAACAAACTGTGAACAGCAACTGGAGATAAAAATTATGGTTAGGGACAAATCAACCACACGACCACTAGGTGTCATCGTATACCCATAGATATTGTTATAGTGTTCTTAACTGTGAAGTTGTTAATGTTCTTAGCTTTATCCTTTGAAAATAGACACTTAAAAATATTCTGGGGATGAGCATGCTCATTTAACTATATGTTGCAAGTAAAAGCCTTGGCGAGTTGATACAATTCCAAGTCTGGAAGGTTAAAATCCCCCTCAGACCTAGGAAGATGTAAAAATTTTCCTTTTTATTCTATGAGTTTTATTTGCCCATATAAAGTCTGTTATGACCTAGTATACTTTTTTTTTTTTTTTAAGAATGCCTTCGGATGGGGTGATTGGTATAACAGAGAATAAATGTAACAACTTTGGGAGCCAAGAGGTTTATTCTACCTGTGAGATTTAATGGAAGATTGTCCATTTAATTAGATCTGTTTATATAATATGTTGTTGAGTAATGGGATGAAGTTATCTTTATATTTTTGTTGTTTGTTGTCACTTATTAAGCATCCTAAGTATTTTATATTTTTGTTAAAGTACTGCTGTAGATAGGGAGTTATTATTTTTATTTTTCCTATTGCCATTATTTTAGAGTATTCAGAAAATATTTTTAGCAAGGGGGGCATTGAGTTTTCAGTATTGGTCAGGTATATCAGGAGATCATCTGCAAATAAGTTTAGTTTATATTCAGGTTTACCAATACTGGTAGCTGTTACGTTTAGGCCCTGTCTAATTCTTTCTGCAAGCGGTTCAATTGCCAGTGCAAACAGGAAGGGGGACATCCCTGTCTTGTGCCCCTTTCTAAAGCAATTTCATCAGATTGAAAATGTATATACTATTTTTATTAAATGTATTCTTTCAGCTGGAAGTTGAAAGCTTCCAAAGTTTTGAATAGAAAATGCCATTCAAGACAGTTGAAAGCCTTTTCAGCATCAACAGCAATTATTGATATTAAACTGAAACATGTTCTTGTACTTGTTTGTAAGTGTCTATTTTAAATTTTATTGTCACAATTTATTAAACTTATGGGTCTCCCGATTTTCCTGGTTTTAAGATAACTGAAATAACTGTTTGATACATGGAAGGAGGAAGCACTGAATTGAGTGACGTGTGTTGTCATTTGTGTAAATAGGGGTGCTACTTTGTCCCAAAATGTTTAAAAAAATTATATGGGAAAGCTGTCCATTCCTGTTGCTTTTCTCCAGGGGAATGTTTTAACTGTGTCTAATATTTATTTTTGGGCGATCTCTGTTTTTAGTGATTATTTTTGGTCTGCTGATAATTGCTTCACGGTTGTTGAGTCTAAGAAGGCTGTAGGAACAGTCCAACTGTTGTTTAATTCTGCATTATATAGATTTTCATAGAAACTTTTAAAATTGTCATTAAACATGTTTTCTAATTACCTCATTTGTATCTTTATCTTTTAAAATGATGACTGGTTTGGCGTGTATTCGCTGCGAGATGTTTACCAGGTTTATTTGCCATTAATTAGTATGCTTTATTTTTTGTTTAACCTGTAGTTGTCGGCTCTCTTCAAAAGTAAAAGGTCATATTCCTGCTTTAATTCAGAAATGTGGTTTTCTTCTTTACCTTGTAAAGATTTTTCTATGGGCTTTTTCTAAGATAGTGATTTATTTTTCTTTAATTTTAATTTCTAACTCAGATTACATTTTAGCAGAGTATGAGGTTATCATTCCTCTAATGTACACCTTAAAAGCGTCACAGATTATATCGGGTCTGCTTTTCTCTGTCCTCTATGTCAACATTGCATATTATTTGTATATTAACATATCTGGGACATTTTGGAGAACACTTACGGATCTGTTAGACACATACATTATTATTTTATTATTCTTATTCATGCATACATCTATGTATTTTCTCTGTATACTGATTTGACAACTGATTTGCATTTCTGGGGTGAGGCGGGGCTAACTAAATGAGAAATGGCAATCCAGGAGAAATGGAAATACCGCATACTTTGTGATATCAAATGCCTTCTTACACTTTAATAAGGCGGGGGATGCAACCAAGCTCACATGAAACCCTTCATGAAGACAAGTGATCTGAAGTACCTAGGCCTCTACCTGCTGAGTATAAAGATTATTAAACTACCCCAAAATAGATTCAATTGGCTTGTCATTCACATAGTACTGATGAAAAATCAAGCACATTTGATCTAAATATGGGTATACGAGGACATCTAGTGGTCACCGGGTTTTTTAAATCCTCGGTTATTAGTTATCATAAATGTGTATCCCCGCTTGAGTCCCCTTTTCTATGCAAAAAAACACAACTAGAGATTTTATGCACTAGCATGTAATTAGATATATTTGACGTAGGTATTTACTTTGCAACATGTATTGTCATTGACTATAACAAAATATAATTGTATGAGCTATGCATCTGTGTACCGGCGTTCTTGTACCCTTCTACTATCTAGCTAGGTGGGGCGATCCCGTCCCAGAGGCAGTCATTTCTGCATGCCTTCTTGATTTCGATACAATGTGTCGTCATGCATTTGTGCATGCACACTGGTAACAGTCATATCTGCCTTGCTAGCTAACTCATCAACCAGTATTTTATTTGCTATTTCTGCACGATAGCACTTATTAAAGCCTTGAATCTCATAGGGACCTCACTGTCATCTAGCTAGCCCTTATTTGCCAGCAGGGTTGCATCGGTTTCAGTTGGACTAGACAGTTTGGGCTGGCTAGCTAGGTAGCTAATTCGCTAACACGAGCTGCTTATCATGTAGCAGTCTATTCTGACTAGCGTCGCTAGCATGCGTTAGCTAGCTAGCTAATTTTCGATATACCGTAGTCGTGGATCCACACAATCAAGCAAATGGAACTGAACTCATGACAAAATCATGTTTCGACATTGTAGTGGCTATTGATGTTTTTGTTTTTTGATGTTTGTTTGTTTTTTTATGTTTGTTTGTTTTTTGCTTAAAGACATTGCGAATATCATATTTTTGGCATTTAACTACCGGTATGTATCTAATCCGGTATCCGCATGAGAAAATTAGTGCTCCCAAATTCCCGCGAGAATTTTCGCACTCACGGATACTGAGCATCGGAAATAAAAGATCCGGTCACGGACCCGGAGCCACTCCCTAAAATAACATGTGGCCACAAGGCGTTTGTGACACCTACATGCGTTCCAATTATGTCATAATGTCTGTAGGTTCTAAATTGTCCGTCAGCTTGGCTGTCCTTCAGAAAGTAGCTAATACTTCTACTCTACAGATGTATTTTCATACAGAAATAATAATACTAGCATAAAAAAACGGAACAAAATAGATTTCATCCCTTAAAATGATATTTCCAGATGGAAGAAAATAAAAGGTAGGCCTAAACTGTAATAAGATATACCTTATAGACTGCTTGTGTTTGATCCTGGGTGATATTTTTATAGGCCTACACTGTATTCAATCTCTAAACTATGGATGTTTGCTGACTTTGGGAAGTTGGAAAAACAAACATGTTGAAATACAAAAGGTTGACATGATGTGGAAACAACGTTGATTCAACCAGTTTTTGCCCAGTGGGAAATGGTTCAGTTCACATACAGTCACTTTTTTTTTTAGCTTGAGAGATCATCCCGGACTGTAACTGAGATGTCCCTGGAGGACAAAGAACAACAAGACCCGGTGGCGCAGTGGTCTAAGGCACTTGCAGCGCAGTGTAAGCTGTGTCACTAGAGATCCTGGTTCGAATCCAGGCTCTGTCGTAACCGGCCGCGACCGGGAGACCAATGGGGCGGCGCACAATTGGCCAGCGTCGTCAGGTAGGGGAGGGAATGGCCGGTAGGGGTGGTAGCTCAGTTTGGTAGAACATGGCGTTTGCAATGCCAGGGTTGTGGGTTTGATTCCACGGGGGACCAGTATAAAAAAATAATGTATGCACTCACTAACTGTAAGTCGCTCTGGATAAGAGCGTCTGCTAATGACTAAATGTAAAATGTAAGACTATGATGTTTCTGACACTGAGACAGTCAGGTAAGGCCACCTTCTATCCAGTAAGATTGTTGTGTGGAGATAAGAGAGAAAAACTAATAAGATACCACTTGTTATGGGGCAGGTCAGACGTCATTCTTGGAGTCATTTGTAAGGCCTATCAACCGAGCAGATCTATTTGAACCACTCATTATTTGTGGCCATGTATTAACTACTAAGTGAGTCTTTAACATGAAGCCAGTGGTTAGATCCTGCCATTGGGATTGCTCTGATGCTGTTTCTATTCTCTCCTGGCTATGACCATAGAGCCTTGTCCCAGCCTCCAGACCTGCCTGTCTGTGTGGTGGATGACACCCTGCCCTCTGAAGCTGTCAATGAGATGGTAAGTTGTCCTTGTCATTTCATATTGCAACATTAAATCAATCCAATGTTATATTGATGCCGTCATTGGCAATGTTGAAGTGCCACAACTATCCCTGTTGTGTTGCAGTTGTTTAATTTGTCCAACGTTGCCAATGCTCCTCCACTCTCTAACTAACGGTTCATCATTATTTCATATGATATTTGTTGTATGTTAAGTTTGACTCTGATAGTGCCATTATTTGCAACATAATTTAATTTCTACCAGGAGCAGAGCAATCTCAGCACTTTGGAATCCACAGAAGAGGGGAAGCTCAACAGTGTGGAAGATCTGACACTTATGGACTTCCTTCAAAACCTAACTGAGGAGTATGTTCTGTTTTCTTTGGTACTATCACACCTTAAAGGAAATAGGGTCATATTAGAAACTGATTAATCAACTACATTTTTTCAGTGCTAGAAAGGTTTTCACATTAATGTTGTCAAAACAATTGACACAAAGCGAATGTAACTTCACCATCAGGCAAATATTTAAATAAAAACAATTCTGCCACGCATCCTGATCCTAACAACATTTCTAACACATCCTGATCCTGACAACATTTCTAACAATATTGTTTTCAGGCAATGGAGGGGGATTCGTGAGGGCATGTTTGACCCGGTAAGATCATGTTACTGACAATTTAATCAGATTACCATGAAAACTCTGCCGAATATTTGACCTTGTTCATAAGCGTTTGAAAGACGCACTATGCAACATTTTAAACCCTTCTTCTGTTTCTGGAATACAGCTGACAAAACAACAGCTTGCCGGCTTGTGTCTGAGGATCGTCCAGTTTTTATCGGACAAGCTGATGCAGAACATCATCTCAGGCCTTTACGAACTACTGGGCATCCAAGATGCTGCCACCTCTCCATTGTCACAGAGCTCTCTCACAGCATCAGTCACCAGTCTGGAGGACGATAAGGCTAACACCAAGTCCCGTGTGAGATTTACTGAGGCTGGTGTACCTAAGAGGCGAGGCAGTCGAAAGTCTTCCACTAGCTTTCGCATCCCGACTCCCTACCCTTCCTCCAACTGTATGGAGCAAGAAGAGGAAGAAGAACAGCAGGAATCACAACAATTGAAGTTCAAGGAGATTTACCTGACTAAGGAGATACGCAGTCTGGGCAGCGGAAGCTACCTGCCCATGGGGGCCATGAGGTATGTTCTTAAAGGGAACTTCATATTCATCTCCAGCATCACCCCAACTTCAACCTATGTGTAAATTGCGCGTTTCTATGTTTTGTAGTAAAAAAGATAGAGGGAGATAAGTGTTTCCAATAGTGCTGAGCGATTAGTGCTTTTTGAGGTCGTTTCGGTTTCGATTCGAATATTGAAAAATAATCACGTTTTCAATGTAATTTGTTTGGGGGGACTTTTTATCATAGGTACACTTCAACTGTGAGAGACGGAATCTAAAACAAAAATCCAGAAAATCACATTGTATGATTTTTAAGTAATTAATTTGCATTTTATTGCATGACATAAGTATTTGATCACCTACTAACCAGTAAGAATTCCGGCTCTAACAGACCTGTTAGTTTTTCTTTTCAATCACCCTCGGTCTGGGGCTCCATGCAAGATCTCACCTCGTGGGGCATCAATGATCATGAGGAAGGTGAGGGATCAGCCCAGAACTACACGGCAGGACCTGGTCAATGCAGGACCTGGTCAATGACCTGAAGAGAGCTGGAACCACAGTCTCAAAGAACCATTAGTAACACACTACGCCGTCATGGATTAAAATCCTGCAGCGCACGCAAGATCCCCCTGCTCAAGCCAGCGTATGTCCAGGCCCGTCTGAAGTTTGCCAATGACCATCTGGATGATCCAGAGGAGGAATGGGAGAAGGTCATGTGGTCTGATGAGACAAAAATAAAGCTTTTTGGTCTAAACTCCACTCGCCGTGTTTGGAGAAAGAAGGATGAGTACAACCCCAAGAACACCATCCCAACTGTGAAGCATGGAGGTGGAAACATCATTCTTTGGGGATGCTTTTCTGCAAAGGGAACAGGACGACTGCACCATATTGAGGGGAGGATGGATGGGGCCATGTATCGCGAGATCTTGGCCAACAACCTCCTTCCCTCAGTAAGAGCATTGAAGATGGGTCGTGGCTGGGTCTTCCAGCATGACAACGACCCGAAACACACAGCCAGGGCAACTAAGGAGTGGCTCCGTAAGAAGCATCTCAAGGTCCTGGAGTGGCCTAGCCAGTCTCCAGACCTGAACCCATTAGAACATCTTTGGAGGGAGCTGAAAGTCCGTATTCCCAGCGACAGCCCCGAAACCTGAAGGATCTGGAGAAGGTCTGTATGGAGGAGTGGGCCAAAATCCCTGCTGCACTGTGTGCAAACCTGGTCAAGACCTACAGGAAACGTAATTGCAAACAAAGGTTTCTGTACCAAATATTACGTTCTGCTTTTCTGATGTATCAAATACTTATGTCATGCAATAAAATGCAAATTAATTACTTAAAAATCATACAATGTGATTTTCTGGATTTTTGTTTTAGATTCCGTCTCTCACAGTTGAAGTGTACCTATGATAAAAATTACAGACCTCTACATGCTTTGTAAGTAGGAAAACCTGCAAAATCGACAGTGTATCAAATACTTGTTCTCCCCACTGTATATAGAGCTGCTGCCTATCCTGTCTGACTATTTTAGTAGTTCTTCAAAGTAAATAAGGCATAATTTTATGACTGCTGAATACCAACCATCAATCACTTAGATAATGTATTTCCAGGTAGAGAAACCTCGCAAAGCAACTGCTTTTTTTATCGCTCTCACGCATTCTCTCGTCTCTCCGTCTCAGTCAATGAGGACTCCATATCTGCTCCACACAGAGTGGACAAGTAAGCGGGCGAGCAATGGATTATGGTCATTGTAGTTAATTACCATGTTTTCTGCGCTAAACTATGTAGAATATTGGCCTGTTGGAAACTACAACTCCCTAGTATGTAGAATATTGGCCTGTTGGAAACTACAACTCCCTACTACATTGCACAGTTCAGGCTGGATCTGATTTATCTCTACAGAAACTGAGCATCGCGCTCACAAAAAAAAAAAAATAATAATAATGGATTCAAATAATTGAACCGACGTCGGTCAATTAGTTGTTTTAAAAACCAAAAAATAACTAACATTTTGGTTAATCGCTCAGCTCTAGTTTCTAATGGCATCATCGGTGTGCATCGTTTGATTTGAACCAATTATGAGGAGGCATTGCCTACTAATTGTCTACTAATTGGTTGATGATGTCATTGGAAACACTTATCTTCCTCTACCTTTTTTTACTACAAAACATGATGTAGTGGTGGTGCTGGAGATAATGAATCTGAAGTTGAAACATTTAGAAATGTCCCTTTAACCATTCTTCAATACTGCCTTGTATTTATGATTGTCCTTAAACAGTATTTTAAGTTTATAGCAATTTAGATTTTTTAGAGGATAGATATTGCCATCTACTAAGCCAGTTTCAATACAAATTACTTATACAAAAAACATTTTATTTGGCTTTAGAAATTAAGCAGTTAGGTTGGGATCTCACTAAGGTTTTTTCCCAGAGCAACAGCAGCATTTCCCCCATTGTTTTCAATGGTGCAGATGTGTTTGACACACTCAACGTGCATCACAGCCTTACATATTATTTGTTTGACTGTGATGATTTCTGTGTTTTGTTCAAGGTCTCAAACCTCTCTGTCTGAGGTGCAGAAGAAGACAACCAACTCTGAGTCGCTAGAAGTCCTTTTAGGTCTCTCAAAGGAAACCCTCGTCACCTGTGTGCAGGACAGCCTGCAACGGTCTCTCTCCAAACTGGCATGCGTATCTGATTCTCCATCTGGAAGCACAGGCTCTCTGACGCTAACCCCTGCTGTAATGGCAGAAGTGGTTAAAGATGTCAAGTCGGCCGTTTCAGTGGCCATTAAGAGTGTCTCCACACGCCAAACCTCTCTAGTGACACCTGTAAGGGGAGACTCACAGACCAAGGGGACTGAGGGCATGGTGAGAGACCTCGCAGCTAAACTTGAAAAAGTTGACCAAGAGAGCAAGAGTCTAACAGGGCAGGTCATGACCACCATCTCTGACACAATGGTGGTTTTTGTTGACGAGAACGAACAGGATTTGTTGGGAGATCTGATGGAGAAGATCACGTTTTTGGCATCGCATGGTGGCTTCATTGACGATCTTGATGCCCTGATAAGGAAATACGAGAGCAGCCACAATATTAGTGAATCTGGATCCTCCTGCACGCTCATGTCTAAGAGCATCCAAAAACTATCTAGCCGGGAGTTTCAAACATCAGCAATGCAAGCAGTGAGTGGAGTTATTTTCAAAAAAGTCAGTAGTTTGAGCTTTCCTAGTTCAGTCGTTCAGTCCGAGTTAACAGGTGCTGTAGCAAGTCAAACATTGTCTGGCATTGTAAAGACAGAGTCAATTCACCCAGTGGGCTCAGCAGCTTCAGTAGTTGTTAAGGCTTTCGTGTCAGATATGAAGTCCTTGGCCGAGTCTGAAGAGAGTCCCCAACAGAAGAGTGGCTGGTCTGCTGCTTTTCACATCTACCACAGCATCCAAAACAACTTGAAGGATTATTTCAGCAAGCTTCAGAGATTTGCCCTGAAGAGCACTGTCACATCTGATGACAACACCACACATGCTGAGTGTAAGGAGACAGTTCCTCTTCAATGCCTGGACAGAAGATATAGGCCAAGCAAGAGTGAGCCTCAGTTGCCAGAGTCCACTGGTGAAGTTACTCTACGGAGGGGCATAAGTGAAAGCTCAAAACTTCTTTGGGCACAAACTGACTCAGAGGAAAACAAGCTCCTTCTAACAACTTGCACCAAAGAAGTCATCTCAGAGCTTCTGGTCTTGTACAACACTGAGATGTCAAACGAGGACCACCTGTCCACTTTTGGAGAAAAAGGATCAGACTTCTCTATTGAGAGAGAACAATTTGTAGAGGGTGTTCTGGCTCAGCTTGGGGATATCTCCCATTCCAGGACCCCATCACCAATAGTATGTGAGTTCCCCTCTGAAATTGAGGACATCATCGGCAGCAAGGCCACAGCTTCTTTGACCAGTCTGTCTGATTGTATTAAAAAACTCTCAAGTGAGGAATTCAAGAGAAACGCTACTCAAGCAGTGAGTGAGTTCCTTGTTAAAAAGTCCACCAGTAGCTTAACTAGTGCACAGCCTGATTATTCTGTAGCGTCCAGGTCTGGTTCCATTCAAAACCAGTGCACATGGTCAAAGGATATTTGTGCGGATTCTGCTGCCTTTGGAATCATTGACACATTTGTGAAAGACCTGCAGAACTTGGCACAACCCTCAGAGGTAGAGCAGAGAGAACCTGACCTCTTGGAAAATGCACAAAAGCTACAGAGCAGGATCTGGTCTGCTACCACTAGTTTGTATAAGAACATCAACAAGACATTAAAGGACTTCACCATTCACCAGCGGAGGTCAGACATGCAGAGCAGAATGTCCAGCCGTACACCCACAGAGGACTCTGGACATCTTGGGACAGAGGAGTACCTTGGTTTGGCAAGCCAGGACTTGAGGCAAGCTAGAAAGAGTGTGCCTCACTTTCCCAGTTTGAACCATGAAGTGGCTCTACACAAGGGTGTCAGCGAGAGTTCAAAACTTCTCTGGACTGAAATAGACGAGGCTCTAATGACCAATAGTACCAAAGAGGTCATTTCAACAATCTTGACCTCATGCGAGGACGAGATATCAAATGAACCTTTCTCCTCCACAGTAGGAAAGAAAATATCTGATATGTCCCTTGCGGTCAACGTGTTTGTAGGTGGTGTTCTGTCTCAGCTGAAGGACATCTCCTTGTCAAGGTCCCCAACACCATGTGAAGACATGTTTGAACGTCTCCAAGATTCTCTTGAGCGAACCTCTCCAGTAAGTCCAGGTGGCAGCACGACAACCTCCAAAGGCATTGCATCTTCCCATAGTCTTTCAGCAAAGAGCCTCCAGAAACTCTCAAGTCATGAGTTCCAAACCAAAGCTGAGAAAGGAGTGAGTGAGGTCCTCTCATTTAACATTGTGGAGGAAGGTAAAACAGATAAGCACCTCCAGTCTGTATCTACATCCACCGTCTCTACTGATATTATACAAACCATGGTGAAAGACCTGCAGGAGCTCCACCAGAACACCCAATCATCTGACATGGTATCTGGCACCTCCCTGCTCACCACTGGACAGGTTTCTGAGAAAAGGATCTGGTCTGTTGCTCGTAACATCTACCACAGTCTGCAAAGTAAGATTAAGGAGTTTCTCAGAAAAGATCTTCAAAGATCAGACACAACACTTGGTTCAATCAAAATGTTTACAAATGAAAGCAGTTCTGCATCACAAAGAGCTAGTCTCGGCCATCTTGAGGTCAACCAGAGCAGTGTTACACCTGGTGGAAAAGATGCCTGTGTGGATATTCCGCATGAATTACTACCTAAAATCAAGTCTTCAGAAAAGGTCTTAACGACCATTGAGCTCTCAGGATCCATGCTGGAGGATATTGGCACGATCCGCTGTAGGAGTGCTGACAGCCAAAAGACAAGAAAGACCTCTTCTTCACGCTCCTCCATCTCTCCAACACCTACTTCAAAATCAAGGCAGTCAGAATGGAACTTTGCTTTGCCCGGTACTCCCATCCCCACTGAGTTGCCTGCTCCGAGTGAATGTCCCATTATAAGAAACACGATCATTGAGGACTTCTTTCACACAGAGGACTTACTTCCCCCGTCCTTTGTGGACAAAGTCAGGCAAGTTGCTGGGGTGGTAGTGGACAAAATGGTGGAAAGTGTTGAGAACACACAGGAAGATGGGCAGGATGCTTCTCATTCTGACGACCTCCGATCTGCTGTTAGGAAATTGAGAGAAATTATTTCCACTTGGACCATCCACATATTCAGTCATGAATTGGTGGATAAAGTGATAGCCATTCAGGACAGCCACATCACTCCACAGGTCTTAACATTGGAAGCAGCCAAAAGTTCTTCTGACTCCATTCTTTCAAGGCTGAAATGGGGACAGGAACAATGCGCCGTATCCAGGAAGCTCTCCTCTCAGCTTCTCCAGATATTTGCTGAAGAGACAGTGAGGGGCTTCCTAAAACAGGGGTCAGATGAGTATGAAAATATAAACTTTGATGTTTTAGTCCAGAACAATCCAAGCACCTCTACTTGCATCATTCTTCAAATGATCAAGAAAGCCACTGCTAAATGTTCTTTTGAGTCCGGTACCAGCATGGCCACCAGTGACATTGTAGAAGGCGTGTTGAATTTGGTAAGGGATACCACCAGCATGACTGGAGAGCAGATCCCCATCTTTAACACAAAGGTATAGTACACATGCATCTTTCATGAATAACACTGCTGTTGACTTTTATGAGATATATGATTCTTTGGGTCATAGCATTGCACTGCTTCTTTGCAATTGATATACTGTACTTTTAAGATATATAGAAATGTTCAGTTATGTGCCTTTTCCCACCAACCAGGGTTCCAAGGAAGTTAGCAAGGACCTCTGTCCTCAAGAGTCTACGGAGCACCAGCCTCAGAACACTTCCCCTAATGTATACTTTACAGGTAAGCCCTGCTGCTGTTTAGGTTGCTGCTCAGTCAAGACGAAGACATTATCACTTTACCATTCAACTAATTCATTTTGGAAGGACATTGTACTCTCCTCTGAATTGTTACCCATGACATACTGCACTCACCCATACTGGATGGTCTTTCTTTGCAGAGTCGATGACAGATTCTCATGGCTGCTTGGCTCCAGAGGGAAATTATGACATTGCATCGTCCTTCCCAGTTGAAGACGAGAGTCGCAAACCCTCCCTTCTCACCAGAATGTGTAGAGCCATCACTAAAAGGCTTTTCCAACCCATTTAAATCTTCAAGGAAAGACAAATTATTTAGTTAAATTCCTCATTAAACAACAAGAGCATTCATTTGTTCAAATAAAATCATATTGGTCACATGCGCCGAATACAACAGGTGTAGACTTTACTGTGAAATGCTTTATTACGAGCTCTTAACCAACAACGCAGAGTTAAAAAGTAAGAATAGTAACATAATAAAAATAACAATAACAAGGCTATATACGAGGAGTACCAGTACCGAGTCAATGTGCAGGGGTACGAGGTAATTGAGGTAATACAGTATGTACATGTGGGCAGGGGTAAAAGGAAATCAGGATATAGAACAAACAGAGTAGCAGCAGCATATGTGAAGTGTGAAAGTCTGTCTGTGTGTGAGCGTGTGTGTGGCATCAATAGACATGTGTGTATGTGTTTTGTGTGTGAGAGTTTGTAGTGTGTGTGTATGTGTTGGAGTGTCAGTGTAGTGTGTGTGGGTAGAGTCTAATGAGTGTGCATAGAGCCAGTGCAAAATAATTATACAAATACATAAATAATAAAGGGGGTTAATGTAAATTGTCCGGGTAGCCATTTGATTAACTGTTCAGCAGTCTTATGGCTTGGGGGTAGAAGCTGTTTAGAAGCCTTTTGGACCTAGACTTGACGCTCCGGTACTGTTTGCCGTGCGGTAGCAGAGAGAACAGTCTATGACTTGGGTGGCTGGCAGAGAGAACAGTCTATGACTCGGGTGGCTGGCAGAGAGAACAGTCTATGACTCGGGTGGCTGGCAGAGAGAACAGTCTATGACTCGGGTGGCTGTCAGAGAGAACAGTCTGACTCGGGTGGCTGGCAGAGAGAACAGTCTATGACTTGGGTGGCTGGCAGAGAGAACAGTCTATGACTTGGGTGGCTGGCAGAGAGAACAATCCATGACTTGGGTGGCTGGCAGAGAGAACAGTCTATGACTTGGGTGGCTGGCAGAGAGAACAGTCTATGACTTTGGTGGCTGGAGCCTTTTGCCATTCATTTACATCACTTACTTGATTTTGATTTTATTTGATGTCATATTGTGAAAGTATGTATCTGTTCTGCTGAAAATGTGATTTTGAAAACCAATGAATGTCTACAAGTGCTTCATAAAACAGATATATTTATTTTCAAAATGACTTATTTTCAAAAGACAGCAAATAGCCAAACAAATATCAACATACGTGAAATGAAATACAGATTTCATTTTCAGTGACTGATTGTCTTGTACAGTGAGCAACTCAATGACAGCGATTCAATGGCATCATTAGATCACCTCCAAGAAGCTTCTCTCCCCAAAATGGGAAGGCTTTAAGACAAAGACAATCACCTGACAACATAATACACATACACTAACCCGGGTGTTCTACTTCCCCACTGAGTTAAAGCAAAGTTATGATAATGATGATATGGTATAATAATATGCCATTTAGCAGACGCTTTTATCCAAAGTGACTTACAGTCAGTCATGCGTGCATACATTTTTACATATGGGTGGTCCCGGGGATCGAACCCACTACCCTGGCGTTACAAGCGCCATGCTCTACCAATTGAGCTACAGAGGACCATTTTTTGGGGGGGGATGCATGGGTCCACTATCCACTCATAGCTCTCACAGCTATCTGACAACTTTTAAGAATACTAAGGAAGAAGTGTATGATATTGGATTTTGTGTCCTTCCCCTTCCAATGTGTCTGCTATGTTGCTGTGTAAATCCACACACTGCAGGAGAATAGGCTCCTCTTTAGCCTATGATGACACGTTCTGTGCTAACAAATCTTTATACAGTAGTTGGCAGTTTTGTAACGTGAGTAAACAGGGTTTGTCAAATCCTCTGTGAAATACAGCAATGTATTTTTGTATTATTTTCCCATAATGCCCTTATTTCATGTCTTTTGTTGTATTTTCTTTGCCCAAAACAGCATTTTATTTTCCTTTTATTCATATGTAACAGATGTATTATTTTGACACTGCACAGACTCATTTATATGAGCAGTGTTACGAACCCCGTGGCTCTAAACGTCTAGGGTGGATGGACATGAGACACGTAACATAAATTATGCAAATTAGGAGTGTGGCATGGAGCAGTGAGAACAAATGTGACACAACAACCATGAACTACCGTCAAACACTAATGGTTTATTTCAGAACACACGGTAAGGATTTGGGAAAAAGGGCTGAGCAGGACCCAAGAAATGAAACAATAGTGTAAAACCCCCTAAACTGATCTTGCCTGCCTCAAGAACCGCTAGGCTACTGCTACCATACAAAAATACAGTGGGTGGTCCGCTCAGGTCTAACTGGTGTTTATAGACAGATTTCTTCCTACGGGTAATGTACGCCCAAGGGCATCTAGCTTAAACTCCCCTTTTCCCAGAAACACACAAAGCTACTAAACAGGGTAATCAGCAATTAAATAAGTACACAGGATACAACAGTATCCACACTCAGGTAAATAAATATATTCTAATAAAGTTACCTATAGGGTAACCAACAACTTAGTGAGTACACAATACACAGGACACCACCGTGTCCACACTCACATAAAGAAATAGCTTCTAACAAAGTTACCAATAGGGTAACCAACAACTTAGTGCGTACACAACACACAGGACACCACCGTGTCCATACTCACATAAAGAAATAATCTCTCTCTCTCTTGCAACAAACACAAGTTTGGTGTTTATACAATGGGATGTGTGATTGAACAAACGCGTAACAGGTGGTGCAATTCACAGGAATGTTCACTGATTGGTCCAATCAGCAGACACCTCAACGACCACCAATCAGGAACATACAGGACACCTGTGATTAGGGCAGAAAGAGTAGAAACACACAAAAACACAGGATACCTGTATCCGTAACAAGCAGTTATGATACACATCTTAATAAAATGCACCCAAAGAGTTTTAATCCAGCAGTGTGTATACTGTACATTGGTTTCAACCACCATAGATCTTCATCAGCAAGTGAGGATTTCTATGGACAAAAACTAGTGTTAAGTGGGGGGTTTGGAGCCTCAATTAGACCCTTGTCAAACACTTACAATCACATACTGTACAATCACGTTCATTCAGCTGAATGATCCTAAAATAAAGACAAACGATAATAATAATAATTCCATTGACATGTGGCTACTACAAATAACCAGTGAAATATGATACATTTATGTTACTTGAGAATACGAATGACTGAGAATCCACTTGCCTGCCGTTATAAACTTTCTGCACACAAATCAAACACAGTGCTGATGATACCTATAAGCACATCTGAAGGAACAAAATTCTTCATCGTCCGCATTGTTTCAGGCATCATCCTCATCTTGTTCACTCGTTTCCTTCCTTGTTAGTGACAATACAGGGACTTTGTGAGGTACCAGTTAGTGCAGTTGATCTCTGGGTTGTGTTCATGAGGGCACACAATGGAAAACGTTTTTCTCTCCATTCGGTGCCTTTCTAACCACGATCCTGGTGTCTACCCCATGTTCTGAACACTCCTCCTGGCCAGAGTACGCGCTACATCCAGCTGCTTTATCCATGGTCTCTCTGTGAAGGCACTGTTGGAGAGACAATCAACCAGAACAAGGTTATAAGGCCAAATCTGTGGTCTACCATTGTGAAAAACGGTGTATGTGATGGCCTCAATACATGAATGAAGCTCCCTTTCCTACATCCTATCCTCTCCCCATACTGAAACAAGTTAGGACTTGTTATGGTAAACCAATAAGGCATGATTTGTTTTTACTGAAATCTAGTCAGGGAGGAAAAGGGTTATATTATAGGCAGTGATGAAGTGGTAAAAACAATGGTTGGTAAATGCTGATCGACGTTCAGCATTAAAGAAGTAACGCTCCCTATACTTTCAATGCATCTTCCACAAAAGGTGGGGTAAACGCTTGTGCAAAATATAATAAAAGTGCGTGAACATGTATTACATGTGTTCACCCTCCACTACACTACTGATTATAGGACTTAAAGGAGGCTTCTTCTGAAACTATTGAAACCCATCCTAAGAAACCTCCAGAGAAATGCTCATATTAAAACCGTAGCAGTGCAATAGCACTGTAATCTCACTGTAAATCACTGTAATTTAAACTTGGACTAACCTGGCCAAGGCCAAACAGTATATGGCGTTTTCTCTGGGTGTGCGGTCGCAGTGGAGAGAAAATGACTCCAGTGAGGTGGTGAGGATCTGGGAGGAGTTTGGCGAGGCAGAGACAAGCAGAGGTCTGAGATTGGTGTCTCTGGAAATGGGCGGGAGCGGAACTCTGCTCCTCCATTGGTTGCTGTTCTGATCCCCACTCTTATTCTCCTCACATCCCCTCCCTCCACATCCCCTCCCTCCACATCCCCTCCCTCCACATCCCCTCTCTCCACACCCCCTCCCTCCACATCCCCTCTCTCCACATCCCCTCCCTCCACATCCCCTCCCTCCACATCCCCTCCCTCCACATCCCCTCCCTCCACATCCCCTCTCTCCACACCCCCTCCCTCCACATCCCCTCCCTCCACATCCCCTCCCTCCACACCCCCTCCCTCCACATCCCCTCCCTCCACATCCCCTCCCTCCACATCCCCTCCCTCGTGGGTATAGCTTCGGCAGATGAAGAGATGCATCCTGGAATGCCAGGGCGCAGAGCGTGCAGGATACATGAGACGGGCAGTTGATGGGGGTCAAAGGTTGAGAGGCTTTGGATGTGACCCTGATACCCGCCTTGGCCTCACCCTTCCTGGGCTTGGAGGACATCTTAGGGAGGGTGAATCCGTCCACCAGGACCGTGTCATCCACCCTGGTCCTGAACGGAGCCCTGTTGAGGCCCATGCAGAGCCTGGATGCTGCCCTTCTCTGCCCCAGCTTCACCCAGCGTTTTATCTGGACGTACGTCCGCATGGGGAGAGCCATACCTAGGAGGGCCACCACAGAGAACAGCTTGGTGGCCAGGTGACGCACACACTCCCTGTGGCCGTGCTGAAGGGCGATCCTTAGGAGGCCATGACCCTGGGGGTCCCGACAGGCCAGGGTCAGAACGCTGCTGGCGATAAAGAGTTTGAGGATGGTGAGCTGGCCGCGCTCGACAGCGGCGATGGCGGGACACTTGGCGGCGTCGGGGTGGGCCGTCTGGTGGCACCACTCACGGTAAGGGTGGACCCCCACCGGCTCGTTGGCACGCACCCCCCTCTCCAGCAGCCAGCAGGCCAGGTCCAGGTGGCCCAGAGAAGCAGCGATGTAGAGTGCCACCCGGAGCTGGAACCTGGAATAATACAGAATCAATGTAAATTATTTAGAACATGTTTCAACGTTTTTTTGTCAAGTTCACCAGATACAGCAGGTATAAAACAGTATAGTGAAATGCTTACTTGCAAGCTCTTTCCCACAATGCAGTATTAAATATCAGGGTAAGAGAAAAATAATATAAAGGCAAAAAACACAAGAATGTAAACTATATACAGGGTCAGTACCATCATTGTAAGCTATATACAGGGTCAGTACCATCATTGTAAACTATATACAGGGTCAGTACCATCATTGTAAGCTATATACAGGGTCAGTACCATCATTGTAAACTATATACAGGGTCAGTACCATCATTGTAAACTATATACAGGGTCAGTACCATCATTGTAAGCTATATACAGGGTCAGTACCATCATTGTAAACTATATACAGGGTCAGTACCATCATTGTAAACTATATACAGGGTCAGTACCATCATTGTAAGCTATATACAGGGTCAGTACCATCATTGTAAGCTTTAAACAGGGTAATTTGGTAATAATACAAGGAGTTGAGGGGAATTATATTGTACTAGCGTATGATACAGTTCAGTGTGTAGATGTGTATTCTGACCTCATCACAGGCCTCTCCCTAGACAGGTGTCGTTGGACGGTCCGTCTGTGTCCCAGGAAGCAGCCTCTGAGGAACTCCACCCACCCATCCCATGTGTCCAACCGTAGAGTTGCCCCTGGGAGACAGAGACATATGCAGGTTGTCCCCCCTGGTTGCCATGAACCAAGAATGTGTTCCATACAGCATATTTGTCTCTATGTTACACCCATAAGGTGTTGAGCCTTTTTTTTTTGCATTGCAATGCTGAAACTTCACTGGACCTCCACAGTAATGCTAAGATTCTGTTATGAAACATTTCAGAATAAAGCTCCACACACACACACACACACACACACACACACACACACACACACACACACACACACAGCAGAGGACCATTGACCTACTGCACACGGAAGGCCATACCCAGGTCAATGGTGTAGTCGTGGAGACGGTTGCAGTCGTAGAGCTGCAGGCCGGTGGGAGAGCTCAGTCTGAAGGAGCTGACGGGAAGCCCACACTGCTGGGACACCAGGGTCACGAGCCTGGCCACAGACGCACTCAGGAGAACCACAGTGCCCAAGACTGAGAGGGTCTCCCCTGTCACGGCACTGAACACACGCACCACCGGCTCCTGCTGAAGTATAAGACCAATGGACATACAATAATATTCACTTGTTTAATATAAATACCTATATGTTGTGTTTATACACTGAGTGTACAAAACATTAAGAACACCTGCTCTTTCCCGTGACATAGACTGACCAGGTGAATCCAGGTGAAAGCTATGATCCCTTATTGATGTCACTTGTTAAATCCACTTCAATCAGTGTAGATGAAGGGGAGGAGACAGGTTAAAGAAGGATTTTTAAGCCTTGAGACAATTGAGACATGGATGGATTGTGTATGTGTGCTGTAGTGGCTTCCTTTCCTCTTTACCATAGCCACTGCCCTAGCCTGAAGCGGGGTTGTTTCGGACGCATACAGTCCACACTCAACGTTTCCAAACGGCCAAACATTCAATGAGATCCAGGGATATAGTGCAACAGAAAATGTTTATTCTTCTTATCTAACAAAAAGGTATTCTCCAATCAACTTAAAGCAGAGATTACTTGAAATGCAAATACATAATATAATATGACCTGTCTGTCTGTATTTCTGTATGTCTATATGGTCAAAAAACTATACCGCTCCCGCATCTAGCAAGGACTCCTCCCCCCGAAGGCCCAACTTCCTGCCTTTATACTAACACAATTAACACAGTACAATGAATGGGCAAGAGGGGGGGCCAAAAACTGAGTTACACTAATAACAAATGAATATATCTCAATCCGGAAAATAAATCATAAAGGTACGTACCTAATATTTCATCATATACATTAATATTTAATATATTTACACAAATGTACATGGAGCTCAGTATGTTCAGTCTTTTATACAAAATATGCCCAAATCGGCTCTAACATACCGGCCCCTAATTGTTGACTGCACTGAATGCACAACAATTACTTAATATTCAAACGTAGAGCCAATACAAAAACATTCTATACCAGAGCACCATTACAGTTCATAGCTATATACAAATATACAAGGTGCCATATAGGAAAATAGTCCATAGATCTCAGTCTGAGTTGAAGTGTAAAGGTGTTCAACTTCCAAAAAATGTCAAGAGTTTGACGTCCACAAAATGTATGACATCAAAGAGTGTAAGAGTACGACATCAACGAATCAGAGGTGCACGTGATTCAAAGATGGAGCACTGTGTGTGTGTGTGTGTGTGTCTCACTTCGTCGCCTCAAGGAGCAGACAGAGTTTATTGATAGGTCTCTGTAGGATATTGGTCTTAGTCTTAACCATGACGCTCCGGACAAGACCTTTGGCCCCTGGCAAAGCCTTCACCACACGCCCCATTAGCCAAGAGTTCCTTGGGGCGGTGTCATCGACGATGACCACAAGGTCACCAGGACTGAAGTTTCTCTTAGTTTTGTTCCACTTGTTCCGCTCCTGCATAAGTGGAAGATACTCCCTGATCCATCTCTTCCAGAAGAGGTCAGTGATATATTGTACTTGCTTCCATCTCCTTCGTGAGTATAGGTCACTTCTCTGGAATAGTCCTGGTGGCAGGACTGGCTTTGCTTTCCCTCCCCCCTACTCTCAGAATGCCATTGTCAACTATTGGATCAAGCTTACAGATTGAGCCGCTTCTCTTGGCACATTGTTTTCCTTTTACAACTAGTGCAATTTCTTGTTTAAAGTGCTGTCGTTGCTCAAATCGAATGATGACCTTTTCTGCTTCATCTAGGTCATCTACAGACAGACTTTCTTTTCCAAACGTCAGTTTGAACTTGTCAATTTGTTCCTTCAGTGAGTTTGTCAGACTCTGATCTGATCCTGGATCAGTTTGGGTGAGAACTTTCCTTTTCTGGCTTAACTGTAGTAGAAGTCTCTTCAGTTTCAGCATCCAGGCAACTGCTTTCTTCAAGCTGTTCCATGTTGAATAGTACTCAATCAGTTTGCTGGTCGGACTCTTTTCTTCCACACATGTACTGTTTACGATGACGTCTTTTCTCACCTCTGGATCATCTGGAGGGATGGAGCCAAGCTCCTCGGGGACTTTCGGCCATTGTGTTTCTGTTTTCTCCAGGAATTCTGGTCCTTTGCGCCATCTCTTTGAGTTCAGGAAAGTTTCAACATGTAATCCTCTTGAGGCATCATCGGCTGGGTTGTGTTTGGAGTTCAAATACCTTTACTGTTTTGCTTTCGATAGGTCACGGATCATAGCAACCCTATTCGCCACAAAAGTATGGAATCTCTTGGTATCGTTGCGGATGTATTTTAGCACCGACTGGCTGTCTGTCCAGAAAGTTGACTCCTCAAGTTCAATCTGGAGCTCCAACCTTAACATCCTGTCCACTCGCACTGCCAATGTTGCTGCAGCAAGTTCCAGTCTGGGGATCGTCATCTGCTTGAGTGGAGTCACCCTTGATTTCCCCAGTATGAATGCGATGTGGACCTTTTCCATAACGTTTGTGAACCTAAGGTAGCTTGCCGTGCCATAACCTTGTTCACTTGCATCACCGAAGTGATGCAGCTGTGCGGTCTTGATTTGACCAAAGTTCTCCGGCATCATACACCTGTTGATCTGGAATCTGGAGAGCTGGTCCAGCTCTGAGAGCCATCTCTTCCATGAAATAGAGTGTTCTTCAGGGATGACTTCGTCCCATCCACACTTTAGCTTGCAGAGCACTTGAAGAATTTGCTTTGCCTTTAATACGAATGGGGCGAGGAAACCTAATGGATCATAAATAGAGCTGACAGTTGAGAGAATACCTCTTCTTGTAAGGGGTCTGTTCTTGACAGTGACCTGGAAGGTAAACACATCCCTTTCAATGTTCCATCGGATTCCAAGTGCTCTTTCAACAGGCAGCTTTTCTCTGTCCAGGTCCAGTTCTTTTATCTGCTTGGCTTTGTGTTCATCAGGGATAGAAGCTAGTACAGTGCGGCTGTTGCTGACCCACTTGGTCAATTTGAACCCACCTTGAGAGCACACATCCCTGAGGTTTCTTGTGAAAGCTATGGCTTGTTCTTCTGTGGCCACTGACTTGAGGCAGTCATCAACATAGAAGTTGGACTTGACTGTTTGAATCACCTCTTCATCGTACCCCTCACAGTTGTCTTCTGCAGTCTTTCGCAGTGCAAAGTTTGCACAACTTGGAGAGGATATAGCACCGAAAAGATGTACTGTCATTCTGTACTCCTCCAATCTTTTGTTAGTATCACCATCCGGCCACCATAGGAATCGCAGGAAGTCTAAGTCATCTTCATGGACACGTACTTGATGGAACATTCCTTCGATGTCTGCCATCATGGCAATGTGCTCTTGCCGAAATCTTAGCAAGACTCCTATAAGCGTGTTTGCCAGGTCAGGGCCTTGAAGGAGTTCACTGTTAAGAGATGTACCTTTATAGGATGATGAACAGTCAAACACCACTCGTATCGTTCCTTTGCGCTTATGGTGAACGCCATGGTGTGGTATGTACCATACCTTGCCTTTCTCTCTGAGGAGCTGTTCTTGTGGTACCTTCTCGGCGTAACCTTTTGTTATCATCTCTTCCATGAAGCCTTTGTACTCTGCAGCGTAACCTTTGTCCTTCTTGAACTTCCTGATAATATTTAGAGCCCGCTGCTTTGCCATGTCACGGTTGTTTGGCAGGACTACATCTTTGTTGCGAAAGGGCAACGGTAAGTAGTAGTGATGGTCTTTGAGGGTTATGGAGCTTGATACTATCTCCATAAACCTACGATCCTCAGCTGACATCTCACTTTTCTCTTCATACTCTCTCTCAGGGAAGTCATGGTTGTACTGATTTACAAGAAGAACCCCCAGGTCGGCCATTGAGATACGATTGGCCATCACCGTAGGACGCCCGGATTCTTCTGCCATGGTACAACTGTTGAGAGGACCATTCATCACCCATCCAAAGAGGGTTTTCACTGCATACGGTCCGTTGCCTTGGCTATTTATGATTTGCCAGGGTTCCATTGCCTTTGGAGCATTTACGCCAATCAGAAATTCGACGTCAGCATCAATCTCCTTCAACTGAACCTCTTTCAGGTATGGCCACCTTTTGAGCTCTTTCTGAGTGGGAATGTTCTCTCTTGTCACTGGGATCTTATGTTGGGTGTAGACCTTTGGTAATGCAAGAAATGTGTCGCCTTCCACATTGCCAATCTCTAATCCAGATATCTCAAAGCTCTTGGTAGGACTCTCCTGCCCCATTGTGCGTAGCAGAATTTCAGTCGCACTGCCTTTAGCTTGCAACTGCCTCATGAGTCTCTCCGTACAAAATGTTGCTGAGCTACCAGAATCGAGAAACGCATAGGTTAACACAGACTTGCTTCCATTTGCCACCTTTACTTGAACTGGCACAATTGCAAGTGCACAATCTGTACCGGCCCCGGTATCTTCACCAGCTTCCAGTGAAACAAGAGCACTGCTGACAGTCTCCTCCCGCTTTACTGCTACACCACTCATATCTGCCTTTTGAGATCTAAATCTCTCTCTTTCTTCAATGTGCAGGATAGTGGGGTGCTTTCTTTGACAGCTCTGACAGGTCATCCTTCTTTTACATTCTCTGCTTAAGTGTCCTCTCATCAAACAGCCAAAACAAAGGCCTTTTGATCTCAGAAACTCAACCTTGAATTCATGTGGCTGTGCCTTCACCTGTTGGCAGTCGACCAATAAATGCGCACCAGCACAAAATATACATGAGATACTGGGAGCATCAGAAGGGTAGGTGCCTGGTCTCTTTACTTTGAATGTTTGTTCTTTTAAAGGTTTTTCAGAGTCACAATCTGCCACTACAGCTACTGTAGTGGCAAAGCTGCTTCCCCTACTCTTGGACTTGAACTGCTGTTTAAAGTCAGCTTCTGTTTTGGGTTTTAAAAACCTTTTGTTGTACAGGGGATCTTGAATATCTCCATACAACGGATCCTGCAGTATTTTGGCCTGTTTTTCCATGAACGTTACCAGGTCACTGAACTGGGCCCTCAGGTGACTTCTCTCTAAAATATCACATGCCATAGACCTCCATTTTTCCCTTAGTTTGTAGGGAAGTTTTGACATGATCAGCTTTATGTTGGAGGGAAGATTAAGCTCTTCCATGTTCTGTAGGTCTTGCATAGCGTTACAGCAACCTCTTAGATAGAGTGCATAACCACCCAGTCCCTTTCCATCATCGGGTTTGATGTTTGTCCAGTTCCAAGCCTTTTCCATGTAAGCAGTGGTGACTTTGATTTCATTGCCAAAGTGTTCCTTTAACAACCTCTTAGCTACTGCATAGCCTCTTCTGGCTTCCATATGCAGACAACTACGGACCAGATCCTTGGGCTGACCAGAGGTGTATTGTTCCAGGTAATAGAGCCTATCCTGGTGACTGCTTGTCTTATCTTCTATACCATGCTCAAATGCACGCATGAATGGCCTAAAGTTTAGAGGATCACCGTCAAACATAGGTATCTCCCTAACAGGGAGTGTGGCTTGTTTGTGCTGTAGTACAAGGAGGTCAGCAATTTCATTCTGCCTTTGCATGACAGTAGAGAGGTTATCATGGCTGGTATTATGGCTGATACCCGCAGTGTTGATTCTGTGTCGATTGCTAGACCTTGCTGTTGGCTGCTGAAGAGTGTGGTTTACGACTGTTTTCGGAATAGGGTTTGATGGCTTTGTGGTCGGTTGTTGTAAAACTCTTTGTAGTGGGGTCTTTGGAACTGCACCTAATGCAGCAAACTCAACAGGTGATGGTTCAGGTTCCACATAGACCTCTGGTTCCTGTTTCTCAAAATAAGAGTTCATTCCATCTTCTTGGCTTAGTAAATGGGCTGCCACAGAATGGGATTGAGAAGTTGACTCGGTACTCTCCAGGACCTTCAGTTTGGCATTATATGCTGCTATGTCCGTTTCCAGTGCCATTTTTTCCATCCTAACATTCAGTTGAGCTTTCTCCAGTTCCAATGCATGCTTGTCTTGTAATGATGCTTGACGAGCTAGTAGAGCTGCTCGTTCTGCCTCGGCTTTAAGGCGTTCAGAGGACACTGAGGAAGCAGTCTTAGAATACTTAGTTTTACTTGATATTTTTGACACATTGGAAATGCTGTCATGTGGTTCAATGAGCGTTTGTGGCTCAACTTCAGCCTTTTTCCATATTTCCACCTCTTTCAGGAAATGTTCATAAGTTCTCATTCTTGGTTGATAGTAGTTAATGCTCTCCTGTTCCTGTTCCTCATCTGTGACCAGCTCTAGCACAGATTCATGAGCCTTCTTAAAGTCATTGAGCACAGCATCAAATGCTTCAAGACTCTCATTCACAGTTGCAATGTTTCCTCCATCAACAAGAAGGACTTTTATTTCATTCATTTTGTCACGGTTTCGGCCGAGGCTGCCTCTCTCCCTTGTTCGGGCAGGCTTCGGCGTTCGTCGTCTCCGGAATTCTAGCTGCCACCGATTTATGTTTTCATGTTCGTTTGCTTTTGTCTGTTTGTGTCACACCTGTTTCTGTTTTACGTGATTAGTGTCCTATAAGTTTCTCGTTGTGTTTGTCTTGTGTTGTGTGTGATTGTTTTTCGTCAGTGTTGTGTTTGCTCGGTTGAGCATATTTCTCTCCACTGCGCTGGAGCTCGTTTGCACTTGTTTCGTGCACTACTATTTTGTCGCACCTGTTTGTGCGCATTTTGCCTACACGCCTTGTGCGTAGTTTAGCTGTTGGGCTTTGTTGCCCTGTTGCCTGTGTTTGGGTCGGAATACAGCTTTTGGAACCTACCGTCTGCGTCCTGCATCTGATTTCCTACACCACACCTACACACGCCCTGACAGAATCACACACCCACCATGGAATCAGCAGGAGCAGAAGCAGCCCAGACAAGACTGGAAGCCCAGGTTCGGGATCAGCAGGAGCAACTCCTGCAGATGGGGAACGCCCTGCAGGAGGTTATTTCCACACTCCGAGGCTGGGGTTCGCCTCCACCACCGCCCGCCCAGCCAGCACCATCGGCCAGCCCGCCCGTTCCAGCACCGGAACATCGAGGAGTCCGGCTATCTCTCCCGAGGGCTTACGACGGGACAGCGGCTGGGTGTCAGGGATTCTTGCTCCAGGTCGAGCTGTACCTGGCCACAGTCCATCCGGCACCTTCAGGGCATGAGAGCGTGTCCGCCCTAATCTCCTGCCTGGCCGGTAAAGCGTTGGAGTGGGCCAACGCGGAGTGGAGGAAGATCGACGCCACGACTATTACCTACACCGAGTTCTCCCGCCGCTTTAGGGCGGTGTTCGACCATCCCCCGGAGGGGAAAGCGGCGGGGGAGCGTCTGGTCTTCCTTAGGCAGGGGAGGAGGAGTGCCCAGGAATTCGCACTCGAATTCCGTACTCTAGCGGCAGATGCAGGGTGGAATGATCGGGCCCTCATCGATCTCTACCGATGTAGCCTCAGAGAGGACGTCCGTCGGGAGCTGGCCTGTCGGGACGCCAGTCTCACTTTCGACCAGCTGGTCGACATGTCAATTAGGTTGGATAACCTATTGGCTACCCGCGGACGTCCTGAGGGGGGTCCGTCCATTCCATCCTCCAGCGCACCCGAGCCGTGTCCTATGGAGCTCGGGGGCGCTGGCGCTAGAGGTAGGAGGAGTCGGCAGAGTGGGGGGTCCATCCACTGCACCAACTGTGGTCGGGGAGGACACACCGCGGCTAGGTGCTGGGGATGGCCTCCTCGGGGAGATGACGACAGGTCCCGCACTGGGGATTCCCTCCAGGTGAGTAGGCGCCCCACTCACCCAGAGCTCACTGTTGCCCATTTTTGTATGCCTGTGTGTTTTCCGCAGGTGGCACCTCATTCCCAGTATAAGGCGCTGGTAGATTCAGGCGCGGCTGGGAATTTCATTGATAAGAAGTTTTGTTTAGAGTTAGGGTTTCCCCTTCTCCCTGTGGAAGTTCCTTTTCCCGTTCACGCCCTAGATAGTCGTCCGTTGGGTACGGGCTTAATCAGGGAGGTCACGGCGCCACTTAGGATGTGTGCGCAGGGGAGTCATCAGGAGATAATACAACTGTTTCTGATTGACTCTCCTGCGTATCCGGTGGTGCTGGGCATGCCCTGGTTAAGTACCCATAACCCCGTTATTTCGTGGCAGGAGAGGGCTCTGAAGGAGTGGTCTGCTCAGTGTGTGGGTAGATGTTTGGGCGTTTCCTTAGGGGCTACCTCGGTGGAAAGTCCAAACCAGGTGCCCGCATTGCACATTCCACCTGAGTATGGGGATCTGGCTATCGCGTTCAGTAAGGCGAGGGCGACGCGATTGCCACCCCATAGGCAGGGGGATTGTGCGATAGACCTTCAGGCAGGAGCTGCGCTCCCACGGAGTCATGTGTATCCTCTGTCTCAGGAGGAGAAGAAAGCTATGGAGGTTTACATAGACGAATCACTGAGACAAGGATACATACGGCCGTCCACTTCCCCCGCGTCCTCGAGTTTCTTTTTCGTGAAGAAGAAGGATGGGGGGTTGCGTCCGTGCATCGACTACCGTGGTCTCAATCAGATTACGGTGAAGTATAGTTATCCACTCCCGCTGATTGCGACCATGACTGAGTCGTTGCATGGGGCGCGTTTCTTCACGAAATTAGATCTCAGGAGCGCGTACAACTTGGTGCGCATCAGGAAGGATGATGAATGGAAAACAGCCTTTAGTACCACCTCGGGCCATTACGAGTATCTAGTCATGCCATACGGGTTGATGAATGCTCCGTCAGTTTTCCAATCATTCGTGGATGAGATCTTCAGGGACATGCAGGGACAGGGAGTGGTGGTGTACATAGATGACATCCTCGTGTACTCACCTACCCGTGTCGAGCATGTGGCCCTGGTGCGCAGGGTGTTGCGGAGGCTGGTGGAGCACGACCTGTATGTGAAGGCAGAGAAGTGTCTGTTTTTCCAGGAGTCGATTTCCTTCTTGGGGTATCAGTTGTCTGCGTCAGGGGTGAAGATGGAGGTAGACCGAGTGTCAGCCGTGAGTAATTGGCAAACACCAACCACTGTGAAAGAGGTGCAGCAGTTTTTGGGGTTTGCGAATTACTACCGGAGGTTTATCCGGGGTTTTGGGCAGGTGGCAGCTCCCATCACGTCTCTCTTAAAGGGGGGCCCGGTGCGTCTGCAGTGGTCAGTCGAGGCGGACAGGGCTTTTAAGAAGCTGAAGGACCTGTTCACCTCGGCTCCGGTGCTGGCGCATCCGGATCCCTCTTTACCATTTCAGGTAGAGGTGGACGCGTCTGAAGCCGGTATTGGCGCCGTGCTGTCCCAACGGTCAGGCGCGCCACCTAAACTCCGCCCCGTTGCCTTCTATTCCAAGAAGCTCAGCCCGGCGGAGCGAAATTATGACGTCGGGGACAGGGAGCTGTTAGCTGTGGTCCAAGCTCTTAAGGTGTGGAGGCACTGGCTTGAGGGGGCTCAACACCCTTTCCTCATTTTGACGGACCACCGTAACCTGGAGTACATCCGGGCAGCGAGGAGGCTGAACCCTCGACAGGCTAGGTGGAGTATGTTTTTGACCCGTTTCTCTTTTAAGATCACCTACATCCCTGGGTCACAAAACGGTAAGGCAGATGCGCTGTCTCGGCGGTATGACGGGGAGGAGAGGTCCGTGGAGCCCACTCCCATACTGCCGGAGTCGTGTCTAGTGGCACCGGTGGTGTGGGAGCTCGATTCTGAGCTCGAGCGGGCATTACGCACCGACCCTAGTCCACCACAATGCCCGGAGGGTCGGAAGTATGTTCCGCTCGAGTGTCGGGATCGATTGATCTATTGGGCTCACACGTCACCCTCCTCTGGACATCCGGGTATCGGCCGGACAGTGCACTGTCTTAGTGCCAAATATTGGTGGCCTACGTTGGCCAGGGATGTGAGGGTTTATGTTTCCTCCTGCTCGGTGTGCGCCCAGTGTAAGGCGCCCAGACATCTGCCTAGGGGTAAGTTACTACCCCTGCCCGTTCCACAACGACCATGGTCCCACCTCTCGGTGGATTTTATAACTGACCTTCCCCTCTCTCAAGGGAATACTACACTCCTGGTCGTTGTGGATCGGTTCTCTAAGGCCTGTCGTTTGCTCCCCATGCCGGGTCTTCCTACTGCCCTACAAACCGCCGAAGCACTATTCACTCATGTGTTCCGGCACTACGGGGTGCCCGAGGACATTGTGGCTGACCGGGGTCCCCAATTCACCTCCAGAGTCTGGAGAGCGTTTATGGAGCGGTTGGGGGTCTCGGTGAGTCTCACCTCGGGTTACCACCCGGAGAGTAATGGGCAGGTGGAACGCGTAAACCAGGATGTGGGCAGGTTTCTCAGAACATACTGCCGGGACCGGCCGGAGGAGTGGGCGAGATATGTGCCCTGGGCTGAGATGGCACAGAACTCTCTCCGCCACTCCTCCACCCAACTAACCCCTTTTCAGTGTGTTTTAGGGTACCAGCCGGTTCTGGCACCATGGCATGAGAGCCAGATCGAGGCCCCCGCTGTGGATGAGTGGGTGCGGCGCTCGGAGGAGACGTGGAACGCTGCACACGTCCATCTGCAGCGTGCCATACGTCGACAGAAGACGAGCGCCGACCTACACCGCAGTGAGGGGCCTGTGTACGCACCTGGAGATCGAGTCTGGCTCTCTGCCAGAAACCTGCCCCTCCGCCTGCCCTGTCGGAAACTGGGTCGGCGGTTTGTAGGGCCATTTAAAGTCCTGAGAAGGTTGAACGAGGTTTGTTATAGATTACAGTTGCCAGTGGAGTATAAATGTATTAACCCCTCGTTCCATGTGTCCCTTCTCAGGCCGGTGGTAGCAGGCCCACTCCAAGAACATGAGATCTTGGAGACCCCCCCGCCCCCGTTGGACATCGAGGGGGCACCGGCGTACACCGTGAGATCCATCTTGGATTCTAGACGTCGGAGAGGGGGTCTTCAGTATCTAGTGGAGTGGGAGGGGTACGGTCCGGAGGAGCGGTGCTGGGTGCCGAGGAGAGACATCTTGGACCCGTCGCTCCTGACGGAATTCCATCGGGGGTATCCGACGCGCCCTGCGCCGCGGCCTCCGGGTCGTCCCCAAGGCCGGAGTCGGCGCGCGTCTGGAGCCGCGCGTCAAGGGGGGGGTACTGTCACGGTTTCGGCCGAGGCTGCCTCTCTCCCTTGTTCGGGCAGGCTTCGGCGTTCGTCGTCTCCGGAATTCTAGCTGCCACCGATTTATGTTTTCATGTTCGTTTGCTTTTGTCTGTTTGTGTCACACCTGTTTCTGTTTTACGTGATTAGTGTCCTATAAGTTTCTCGTTGTGTTTGTCTTGTGTTGTGTGTGATTGTTTTTCGTCAGTGTTGTGTTTGCTCGGTTGAGCATATTTCTCTCCACTGCGCTGGAGCTCGTTTGCACTTGTTTCGTGCACTACTATTTTGTCGCACCTGTTTGTGCGCATTTTGCCTACACGCCTTGTGCGTAGTTTAGCTGTTGGGCTTTGTTGCCCTGTTGCCTGTGTTTGGGTCGGAATACAGCTTTTGGAACCTACCGTCTGCGTCCTGCATCTGATTTCCTACACCACACCTACACACGCCCTGACACATTTTGCGTGTACACACTCCAAGTTTGCCTCTCCGGGCTGCATAGAGTGAATTTAGATGCTCCTCTGCCCTCTCCAGTGGAGTCTTATTTGGGATTTCCTCCTCCATCATTCACTTTTAGTTCACTCAATTTACAATGACACGGTTGTTGGTTTGATTGTTAAACGTAATGCCCCTTTAGACCTCCTTTAATCTTTAAAAACACAGTCATCCATTTCAGCATATGGACCCATTTTGAATTGCACATGTGCAAGTTTGGCATTTTAGATGCGTTTTAAACATTTCATCCCGTTGAGGTTTTGTCCCTTTAATGAAGTTTTAACACGCAGTATCTTTAGATCCTTAAGTTGCATTCGTTGCGTTGATGGATTGCATTTCCACGTTAGGCCAAATATTAGATATATGATTAGGCTACATTGTGCATAGGATCTGTGTTTCCCAAACTTAAACTTCTTAATTGTTTTCACAGCGCTGTATTTTGAATTCCATTCCCAAGTTTATCAAACATTCCAATTATAAGCACATTTGCGCTTCCATAATATGCATGATCAAACGATCGCCTTGAACAGGGCAGCTCATTCATTCGCAGTGGTTACTCAGGGCTGGCGAAATCTAGGAGTTCAAATCCTTCCAAGCGAGCTGTCCTTATGGTCCGAATGCAATTACAAATAGAACAAAGTCCAGCGTGTGTCCGAACCGGAGATTTCCTTCCGGTAGTAATCCTTCACGGAGTTTTTTGACTTGAATGTAGTGGCTTCCTTTCCTCTTTACCATAGCCACTGCCCTAGCCTGAAGCGGGGTTGTTTCGGACGCATACAGTCCACACTCAACGTTTCCAAACGGCCAAACATTCAATGAGATCCAGGGATATAGTGCAACAGAAAATGTTTATTCTTCTTATCTAACAAAAAGGTATTCTCCAATCAACTTAAAGCAGAGATTACTTGAAATGCAAATACATAATATAATATGACCTGTCTGTCTGTATTTCTGTATGTCTATATGGTCAAAAAACTATACCGCTCCCGCATCTAGCAAGGACTCCTCCCCCCGAAGGCCCAACTTCCTGCCTTTATACTAACACAATTAACACAGTACAATGAATGGGCAAGAGGGGGGGCCAAAAACTGAGTTACACTAATAACAAATGAATATATCTCAATCCGGAAAATAAATCATAAAGGTACGTACCTAATATTTCATCATATACATTAATATTTAATATATTTACACAAATGTACATGGAGCTCAGTATGTTCAGTCTTTTATACAAAATATGCCCAAATCGGCTCTAACATGTGCCATTTAGAGGGTGAATAGACAAGACAAAATATTGAAGTGCCTTTGAACAGGGTATGGTAGTAGGTGCCAGGCACACCGGTTAGTGCAACACTGCTGTGTTTTTCATGCTCAACAGTTTCCAGTGTGTATCAAGAATGGTCCACCACCCAAAGGACATCCGGCTAACTTGACACAACTGTGGGAAGCATTGGTTTCAACATGGGCCAGCATCCCAGTGGAACACTTTCGACACCTTGTAAAGTCCATGCCCCGACCAATTGAGCCTGTTCTGAGGGCAAAAGGGGGATGCAACTCAATATTAGGAAGGTGTTCCTAACGTTTGGTACACTCAGTGTATATTTGGGTAAGACAAGTTAGGATATAACTACAGGGGTAAGGTGAAGTGGCTCTGATCTAAGGTCTAGTTTGTGTTTTTACCTCTAATGGCGAAGGTTAGGATTTGGTGAAAGTAAGCTGATCCTAGATTTGTGCCTGAGGGCAATTTCTACCCAGAGACACATCATAGGTCCATGCTATATGAGCTTGTGATCTACCACCATCTGGCGGCTCAAACTTGTAACAACATTTTCTAATTCATGTCCTGTATTGAGCTTTGTTCTATCATATTGAACATATTGAGATTAAATAGTTAACAACAGAAATCTAATGAATATGTATTTCAATGAACCAATAGGGTATACGGCCTCTTTTGCAACCACTGTTAGCAAACACCAGACTGAGGTAAAGGCGGTTACATGGGGAAAGGGTTTATGACAGTAAGGGTGTTTGGTACAAAGGCAACACTACATTGGGACACATTCCAGCTCCATCCCTGGGCAACCATACATTACTATAGAGTTCCACTCTAGTCAACCAGCAAGAGAGAGAGACAGACAGAAGGTCTGGCTTTGACTCTGTCAATGATGGGGGTGTGTAAGTATGGAGTAAGGAACACAAAGAAACATTATTCTGATGGTTAAATTTGCACTTTGTTACATAACCATTCTCCTCTGTTAGCAACTCTTCCACAGATGTTTGTGTAACAGAGTAAGTTCTGTGCCTGTCCTGCTCTGGACATGAACCCGGGACCCTCTGCAAAACAACACTTCACACTCATGAAGCAGTGTTCTTACTAAACAATCGCTCTACCATAACCATGGTATTGGTTGAGCAAGGGCAACATTACTTTAAGTCTCAAGCAGGGTGACCTCACCATACTACAGTATATATGAAACACTTTCTGTAAATGAGAATTTGAAGCAATAGCCTGCACACTCTTTGACATGCATTTTCAAGCACTCGTAGAAAAAAATCTAGGTGCCCGGCTGATACCTTCAGCAGGCAGCGGATGGCACTGCCAGGGGGGATGCCAACGTCTGTCAGGAACCAGCTGTCCAGAAGGATGGCACCAGCGTAGCTCAACTCCAGGAAGTGCCTCACCTGCTGGTCGTCTGACAGTTGCACGTGGAAGTAATCCTGCCAGAGGAAGAAGATTGGAAACTCAGGGAGTTGTAATGGAGTGTCCCATACATTACATTTACGTCATTTAGCAGACGCTCTTATCCAGAGCGACTTACAGGAGCAATAAGGGTTAAGTGCCTTGCTTAAGGGAACATCGACAGATTTTTCACCTAGTTGGCTCGGGGATTAGAACCAGCGACCTTTCGGTTACTGGCACAACGCTTTTACCCACTAAGCTACCTGCCGCCCCAATCAGAATGAGAGGGCTCAACACTGATGAAGCCGTCATGGAGGGTGTTCCACACAGACAGAACCATTATGGAGAGTGTTCCACACAGACAGAACCATTATGGAGGGTGTTCCACACAGACAGAACCATTATGGAGAGTGTTCCACACAGACAGAACCATTATGGAGAGTGTTCCACACAGACAGAACCATTATGGAGGGTGTTCCACACAGACAGAACCATTATGGAGAGTGTTCCACCCAGACAGATGTCAATGGATGATACAGAGATACCATACAGAGAGAGACATAATTGTAAAAGTGTCCAATTGTGTACAATAGTAAAATAGACAACAAAATCTACATAAACATTGTTGATCATCATCATTTCAATCCCATCACATAACCATGTGTCCTACTTTAAGTACTATCACCCCATCACATAACCATGTGTCCTACTTTAAGTAATATCACCCCATCACATAACCATGTCTCCTACTGTAAGTACTATCACCTCATAACATAACCATGTCTCCTACTTTAAGTACTATCACCTCATCACATAACCATGTGTCCTACTTTAAGTACTATCACCTCATCACATAACCATGTGTCCTACTTTAAGTAATATCACCCCATCACATAACCATGTCTCCTACTTTAAGTACTATCACCTCATCACATAACCATGTCTCCTACTTTAAGTACTATCACCCCATCACATAACCATGTCTCCTACTTTAAGTACTATCACCCCATCACATAACCACGTGTCCTACTTTAAGTAATATCACCCCATCACATAACCATGTGTCCTACTTTAAGTACTATCACCCCATCACATAACCATGTGTCCTACTTTAAGTACTATCACCCCATCACATAACCATGTCTCCTACTGTAAGTACTATCACCCCATCACATAACCATGTCTCCTACTGTAAGTACTACTCTCATACTGTACATGAAACCAGCCAAATGAACAAGTTAGTTCCCCCTTAGAATCATCTTCATTTCCTTGAGCTGTTCAGTGTACAGACAGACAGAGGGGAGTAACGCTGCTTTCTTTTCACATGAGACTGTCAAACAAGAAAAAGAGACTCGACAAGGACCTCTTATAGAGGTTTAATTACCTTGACCATCAGCTTTACCGTCCCCACGGTCTGGTCAGGAGAGACGTCAAAAGGCTCACAGGAACCATGGAAGGTGATGAAAACCCTCATGGCAGGACGGCCCTCTGTCCCTCCACCACCGCTCTAAGCACAGAGTGCAGTGTTTGTGTAGTGTTGAAGGTTATATTCAGGGTTTGTCTGAGGAGACCATGCTGGGGAGGGCCAGGGAGGGAAGGGATGGGGGGGGGGGGGGGGGGGGGGGGGGGGTTGGCGGGTCTAAAGAAGCCCCTCAGCAAGGGGGAAGAGGCAGAGGGGGACTTAGAGAAGGGTATGACGGAGGGCGTTGTGTTCACGAGAGAAAGTGACAACACACACTCACACACACACACACACACAAACAAGCGCACATATGCACACGCACGCACACATACACACACACACACACAGAAGAACAAAAGACACGTTCTACCTTTGCAGGGCACATTGAAACATGTCTACTGGCCCAATGATCAGCGCAAAGATAGTAAAGCTAACACTATTGGTCATGTGACAATGTGATAGTACAGAAATAGGTCCGAAATGATCCCTGGTCAAAAGTAGTGCACTACATAGGGAATAGGGTGTAAAGTACTTAAGTAAAAATACTTTAAAGTACTACTTAAGTAGTTTTTTTTGGGTATCTGTACTTTACTATTTATATTTTTGACAACTTTTACTTCACTACATTCCTAAAGAAAATAATTGACTTTTTACTCCATAAATTTTCCCTGACACCCAAAAGTACTTGAATGCTTAGCAGGACAGGAAAATGGTCAAATTCACACACTTATCAAGAGAACATCCCTGGTCATCCCTGGTCATCCCTGGTCATCCCTGGTCATCCCTACTGCCTCTGATCTGGCGGACTCACTAAACACAAATGCTTTGTTTGTCAATTAGTGTTGGTGTGCCCCTGGTTTGTGTCGTCTGGTTTGCTTTACATAAGGAATTTTTAACTACTTATACTTTTACTTTTACTTTTGTCCTTAAGTATATTTTAGCAATTACATTTACTTTTGATATTTAAGTATATTTTAAACCAAATACTTTTAGACTTTTACTCAAGTAGTATTTTACTGAGTGACTTCCACTTTTACTTGAGTCATTTTCTATTAAGGTATCTTTACTTTTACTCAAGTGTGACAATTGTGTACTTTTTCCACCACTGCATGTATATACATTGTCTGGTGTTGCTGTTTGTCTGAGATAAAACTGTTATCACAGCATGTGTATAGATCTAGATACTGTATGACTGTGTCTACACTTCAGAGCAGGTGACTACAGGTAGGCTATGAAACACATCATTTAGATAATTCACTTCAGAGCAGGTGACTACATTGGCTATAAAAACACAGCATTCAGATTATTCACATCAGAGCAGGTGACTACAGTCAGGCTTTAAAACACATCATTCAGATTATTCACATGATTCACATGATTCACTCACACACACCTCGAGGAAGGTCCATAACAAAGTCACACCCATTAGATATCTCCATTCGTACAAACCAGATCACACCACACACCACAGTGCAACATAGATACACCACCCTTGTGGGACTGCTTAAAGTCCAGTTGCGTGCTATAGATGGGATAGCTGACAACGTCACGAAAACAATGTGCACGCTGAAATGGGGCAGATGTCCATGAGTTGTTGTGCTTTGTGGAAATTCATTCGTTTTTTGGGGGGAACAATTCGCTACTTTGGAGGTGACTGTAACTATTTGAATACAGATCCCCCCCAAAAGAAGTACTACTTTTTAAAACTATTTGAATACAGATCTCAGAAAGTACCTACTTTTTAAAAACTATTTCAATACAGATCTGAGAAAGCAATTACTTAAAAATAATATTTGAATACAGATCTCAGGAAGTGACAACTTTTCACAAACTATTGGATTGGCTGCCTTCAACTAATGGCAGGGCTGTATCTGGAACTGCATATTGCAGATATAAATAGAATGAATAAATAAAGCACACATAATGTCCTATACGAATCAATCTAACTGACAGTTGATCATATTTGATCTATACAACAGATTTCTTTTTGAACATTCTGTAAATGTCTATTCTCCTGAACAGGCCCCCCCCAGGTGCAGATCATCAAGTCAAAACAACCAACCAATGATATTTTGTACAGATAAGTAGAAATAAGTTGTGACACTCAACTACTGTAGGATTCCAACATGCCATTGAAAAGGTTGAAAGCTGCAATTCATTTTTTTATAAAAAATAAAATAAAGAGCTAATTTATTCAGAATACAAATTAACGTGATTTTCCACCTACCTTGCCTGTCGTTGACTTAAGAAGGCAGTTTTTTTTTTTATATATGTTGTTCCCTTAGAACCTTAATAGTCATATTTTGTTACTGTTAGCATTCTCAGTAACTTAACATTGAACTGTAATTGTGCTTGTGTAATGGAACCACATTTTATTATCACGTTGTTAAATAATACTTTGGTAATTGCATTACAATTAGAGCTTTTGTAACTACTGTACACGAGGGTTATGGACTGTTCCTTATTCCACTTGTGTAATAACTCCAATATAATGCAATTATAAAGCCATTTCTGAAGTCCTATGTAACAACAATGTTGCTATTGTAGTAATCACAAAGTTACTACATATAAAAAAATATAATAAATACAGATGTTTTATTGTCACATACACCGGATAGGTTCAGTGAAATGTGTTGTTTTACAGGGTCAGCCATAGCAGCACGGTGCCCCTGGAGCAAATTAGGGTTAAGTGCCTTGCTGAAGAGCAAATCGACAGATTTTTCACCCTGTCGGCTCGCGTATTCGAACCAGCGTCCTATCAGTTACTGGCCCAACGCTCTAACCGCTAGGCTCCCTGCCGCCCATATGTATTCAAAACTTGATGTCAAGTGTTACTGTATTACTTTAGGTCTCACTCAGTATGAAAATGTATTTCTTAGTCATTTTGAAACTACAAAAGGGTTCTATCTACTCTAATGTTGAGATGAGTCCATGTCCCTAACAAACTGTAGCTTATATCTAGCTAAATGCCTGAAAGTGACAGTTTATTTGTCAGATGTTTTCAGGTCTAAAAATGTGTCCTGTCATTTGGCGGTAATCGTCATCTAAAGGGATTATCCACCGTTTAAAATTATGAATCACCATTTAATGTGATTATCCACCATTAAGAAATTATGAATCACTATCATCTAAAATGATTGTAAAGAAATTCTGAGAAATACATTTACAACAATAAAACAATCAGTTTGGTTTACATTTGTATTACTTAAAAAAAAAATCTTCAATCATTAAGTATTTAATTCTACACTACATAATTAAGATTCATATCTGAAAGCCCTCAAAACCATGTGATAATTATCATATATTTAGACTATAACTGTTTTGTCTATAAATATTTGGCAGCCATCAAATAAATATGTTTCTGTTTTCAAATAATGTGCATATATTCAAATAGCCTACCTTCAAACATTATTTGTTTTTCTGAGAGGTATTCAAAATAGTTAAAATATTATCTGTTTTTTTTAGACCTGTATTTGAATATCAAAGGAAATAATTGCCTTTAGTTGATTGTCTATATTCGACGACCACTAGTATTTGAAAAGTTGGTATTTTCAAATAAACTATAAATACAACTATTTTCTGCCCAGGTCTGCTTTATTTCTGTGCACATTGTATTATCAAATGAGCTTCTTGTAAGCATTTAGTTAGACGCAGCATCCTCTTATTCAGGTAAACTCTCTTTCTTGAAGTAGCAATGAGTTAAAGAAGCCAAATGAGGATTTTTATGGTGGTGGGAGAAACTGTGGTGCTCTATTTAGAGGTCATCTGGATGAGTTGTGTTTGGTTCCTATGGCAACATACAGCAAATAGAACAATGATTAGAGATTAGTTTTTTTTTCAGTTCACAAGATTCGATAGTGAACATGGGGAGAAAAGTTGGGTACACAAAATAATGAATGGTCTGTCTACAACTGGGCTCCAGTCTGGGTTGGCTTTCATGATAGAACAGTGTGTCTGTTTCACTAAAGCGAAGTAAAACCCCTAGACAAATAACTGTAAAGAGACTTACAGAAAACATTTACATCATTCAATGGTAGAACAACCCAAAGCCACTTTTCATGTAATAAAAGTAATAACGATCATTAGTTAACAAACAATAACTGTTATTTTGGGGGACTCCAATAAGTCATTTTGTTAGGGCCAATGAAGATAATAAGTACACCAACACTGATCATCTCCATGACATTCAGAAAATTTGCAATACAGTATGCTGCCTAACTGAGAGATGTGTTGCTGCCTAACTGAGAGATGTGTTGCTGCCTAACTCAGAGATGTGTTGCTGCCTAACTGAGAGATGTGTTGCTGCCTAACTGAAAGATACTGTATGTTGCTGCCTAACTGAAAGATGTGTTGCTGCCTAACTGAAAGATGTGTTGCTGCCTAACTGAAAGATGTGTTGCTGCCTAACTGAAAGATACTGTATGTTGCTGCCAACTGAAAGATGTGTTGCTGCCTAACTGAGAGATGTGTTGCTGCCTAACTGAGAGATGTGTTGCTGCCTAACTGAAAGATGTGTTGCTGCCTAACTGAAAGATGTGTTGCTGCCTAACTGAAAGATACTGTATGTTGCTGCCAACTGAAAGATGTGTTGCTGCCTAACTGAGAGATGTGTTGCTGCCTAACTGAGAGATGTGTTGCTGCCCAACTGAAAGATGTGTTGCTGCCTAACTGAAAGATACTGTATGTTGCTGCCAACTGAAAGATGTGTTGCTGCCTAACTGAGAGATACTGTATGTTGCTGCCAACTGAAAGATACTGTATGTTGCTGCCTAACTGAAAGATACTGTATGTTGCTGCCTAACTGAAAGATGTGTTGCTGCCTAACTGAAAGATGTGTTGCTGCCTAACTGAAAGATGTGTTGCTGCCTAACTGAAAGATGTGTTGCTGCCTTACTGAAAGATGTGTTGCTGCCTAACTGAAAGATGTGTTGCTGCCTAACTGAAAGATACTGTATGTTGCTGCCTAACTGAAAGATGTGTTGTTGCCTAACTGAAAGATGTGTTGCTGCCTAACTGAAAGATGTGTTGCTGCCTAACTGAAAGATGTGTTGTTGCCTAACTGAAAGATGTGTTGCTGCCTAACTGAAAGATACTGTATGTTGCTGCCTAACTGAGAGATGTGTTGCTTGCCAAAGGAATTTCCGTTACCGTCACCATGATTGTTTGGTAGACTTTTACAATTGTGTTATAAACTTTTACAGAGGACTCAACTAATTTACATGTGACCTTTTTAAATAGCCATCTGTCCATGAGCCCTGAGAGCTGTGCTGGATTCTATCACAAAAAGGCAAAACAGTTGTCACTGTTTGGGGGGGGGTATACAGAAGACCGCAACACAGGAAAGGAAGTCCCAGAGTTATCTCTGCTGCAGAGGATAACTTCATTAGAGTTACCAGCCTCAGAAATTGCAGCCCAAATAAATGCTTCACAGAGTTCAAGTAACAGACACATCTCAACATCAACTGTTCAGAGGAGACTGTGTGAATCAGGCTTTCATGGTCGAATTGCTGCAAAAAAACACTACTAAAGGACACCAATAATAAGAAGAGACTTGCTTGGGCCAAGAAACATGAGCAATGGACATTAGACCGGTGGAAATGTGTCCTTTGATCTGGAGTCCAAATTGGAGATTTTTGGTTCCAACCACCGTATCTTTGTGAGACGCGGTGTGGGTGAACGGATGATCGCTGCATGTGTATTTCCCACCCTAAAGCATGGAGGAGGAGGTGTTATGGTGTGGGGGTGTGGGGGTGCTTTGCTGGTGACACTGTCTGGGATTTATTTAGAATTCAAGGCACACTTAACCAGCATGGCTACCACAGCATTCTGCAGCGATACGCCATCCCATCTGGTTTAGGCTTAGTGGGACTATCATTTGTTTTTCAACAGGACAATAACACAACACACCTCCAGGCTGTGTAAGAGCTATTTTACCAAGAAGGAGAGTGATGGAGTGCTGCATCAGATGACCTGGCCTCCACAATCCCCCGACCTCAACCAAATTGAGATGGTTTGGGATGAGTCGGACCGCAGAGTGAAGGAAAAGCAGCCAACAAGTGCTCAGCATATGTGGGAACTCCATCAAGACTGTTGGAAAAGCATTCCAGATTAAGCTGGTTGAGAGAATGCCAAGAGTGTGCAAAGCTGTCATCAAGGCAAAGGGTGGCTATTTTAAGAATCTGAAATATAAAATATATTTTGATTTTTTTAACCTTTTAAGGATCAGACCCTTTTAAAAAAAAAAATTCACCTAAAACGACATACCCAAATCTAACTGCCAGTAGCTCAGGACCTGAATGTCACGCCCTGGCTCTGGGGACTATTAAATGTTGAGCCAGGGTGTGGATTTTCTATGTTATAGTTGTCTATGTTTTGTTCTAGATCGTTTAGATCTATGTTGGCCAGGGTGGTTCCCAATCAGAGGCAGCTGTAGCTCGTT